TACCGTGGGATTAAAATTGTCATTTTTAAAGAAATCCATCCAAAAATTCGGGACTACTTTAAAAAATATATTTCAAATGATTTCTTCAAATCTTTTTTTTTCCCAGTAATAGGGTTGAACCCAGGGGCTTCACACTAAGCTGCATCCTCAGTCCTTTTTCATTTTTTATTTTGAAACAGGGTCTCACTAAGTCATTAAGTTTCCTAGGCTGAATTCAAATATCCAATCCTCATGCCTCAGTCTTATAGAGGACTGGGATTATAGGTAGCCGCCACCATGCCAGGTTTCTAATGAAATAGAATGATATGCTTAACATCAAATAAACGTACTGATCATTGAAAAGGATGCCCAATGGCAAAACATCCCACTTTAACTTTACCCAGTAAATAATTTAAATAGAGTCTTAAATATAGTATTTAAGTATAGTTAAAGTAATTTAGATATAGTCTTACTGGAGTTACAGGCTAAGAACATATGAGTCAAACTTTATGGGATTAAATGTGATAGAAATAAAGTCAAGTCTGCTTTTAAGTTAAGTGAGACTTGAGCTGCACTGAGGATGCACAGTGTTCGGAGAATGTGTGTTTATTTTCAATATGAGACCACTATGTGGCTACCAAAAAGAACAATACAAACAGAGGTGGCATTAACAAATACTTGTGCACAGAAGAGGGAGGTAATCGGTTCAGTGTATTCTGCACAGCCAGACCACATCTGGAGTATTGGATTCCTCGCTGGGCATTGACCACACGAAGCATGCCAGGTTGGGGTAAATAGGAAAGGGTCTGGAAACCTAATCACATGAGGAGATGTTTGTATTGGAAAGGGAGAATAATGAGGAGGCATTTCAAGTATCTGAATGGCAGTCAAATAAAACAGGGGAAAAAATGTATTCTCTGTAGTTTCATAGCAAGGAAAAGGAACTTGATTGAGCACAGGAGAAGTGAGTCCCAGGGCTGGCTCTAAGAGGCCTTGTTGCATGTGCTTGGAAGAATCACTGAGATGTCCTGAACCTCAGTTTACAAACTAGAAAAAGGTAGAAAAGTTTTACCACAGATGAGACCACTTTGGAGCAAAATGGTCTGTTTCAAAGTGCATTCTTTGGTGCTAGAATTGTATTAGCAGAAGTTACAGGCCCATCACACAGGATCGGGTAGAAGGGAGTTCTATAAGAAAATAAAACTGGATTCTAAGTCACTGCTAGACTGCAATCACGAAGGGAGTGAATCTGTATCAGATTCTTGGCACATGACAGACCTGAATATATGGTACCACTGAGTACATGGCGCATCATAGGCATTTTTTAAATGGATGAATGATGGGTGCATAGATGGATGGATGGATGCATGCATGCAGGCATGGGCACTAAGATTCTATGATTCCATTCTTGCTCTAGAAAACAGGGGCATTTGGGGGTTCAGCAGAGTACTTGAAACCTTAGTAAATTCTATGTAACTATAATCATATCCTACTTTACCTTAAGATTCAGAAATACAAAAGGAGTTTAAAATTCACTGCTATATAAGGTAATATTGATGTGTGGTTATGCTCTGCAGAACTGTTGTATCATATACAAATGGAAAGTAACATGCATCTAAGAAACCTGTTGATGGTAGTTCTCATTAGAACTGAGAGAAGTATTGAAGGTCACCTCCCCAAGTGCCAAAGGTCTAGAGTAAAAAATCACATTTTAACAAAATTCATTACCAGTGATTACCTAGGACAAAAAATATGTCTGTTTTTTATTCTTCATGATTTTATCTATTAAATACAGACATCAGGAGATATCCTGCACTCCCTTTGGCTTAGAATGAGTCCTTACCTTAATTTGTTTGTAGACTCCATACGATTTTGTTACTCATGGGACATTCTTGTGTTACACATGATAACCCAAAGGAAATTCTTGGTAACATTAAGGTAGGACGCACTAACCTAACAATTCAACCTGAGATTCTAGAACTGTACTTCCTTGACTCAAATCCTTACTTTCCTACTTCTAGCTTTATAAATGAAGACAAATTATTTAAGGGTCCTGTGCCTCAATTTAGTTTCCTCATAGTTATGGTAAGTATTAAGTGGGATAAGTTAGTGGGATAATTTAGTGCTTTGAATAAAAAAATGCAATTGTTTTTATTATTATCACTAAGTTATATTTTACACAATAGTAAGGACTCAAAACGTACACTGAAACATCTCTAAAAATACGACATAATAACCCTAGTCAGAAACCCCTCAACTCACCCACACAGTTGAAGCCTTCTTCTAGGGCACACGCTCTTGAACATCCATCTGCGTCCAGCAGGTCTCCGTCATCGCACTCTTCTCCCAAGCTCCTGAAGTTATACATACAGATGCACATGAAATGTTTTCTTCTTTTTAACTACCATCATTTTAATTTCTTAAAATTCCTCATTGTGTATTTAAAAGTAAGAGATGGGTTCAAATAGAAGCTAAATAATGCTCCTATTTTAAGCATACAGACATGTGTTATGCTTAATCAATTTAAACAATGATTATTGATTGGCATGCCTTGAGGTCGTGAGAATTCCAGTAGTTCATGACTAAAAAAATACTGAAGAGATCCCTTTGAGAGTCCTGATAGTGTCTGTTGTAAAGGCTATAAACTTAGAAAAGGTTCACTTAGCTCCGTAATGAATGGAATCTGACAAGTCATCAATATATATCCTGCAATTTTGCTGAATTTGTTTACTAGTTTCAATAGTTTATAAAATGAAGAGCAATGCTATACATTAACAGCCAATTACTGAAATAGAAACTAAGAAAACAGTTACGTTTGCAATAATTGCAAAAATAAAATATCTAGAAACAAATTTAACCAAAGAAGGTCTCTACAATGAAAATTATAAAACATGGATGAAAGAAATTGAAAGGGACACATGCCACACAAAACACATACACGCACAAAGAAAGACATACCATGTTTATAGATTCTTAAAATGTTCACACTATACAAAATGATCTACAGAGTCTATGCAATCTCTATCAAAACACCAATGACATTCTTTATAGAATTATAAAAACTTAGAATTTGTATGCAACCACACACACACATAAAAACCCAAGAGCTGAAACAATCTTGAGCAAAAAGAACAAAGTGGAAGGCATTATACTTCTTGACATTAAGTTGTACTACAAAGTTCTAGTAATAAAACAGCATTGTTTCTGTACAAAAATAGACACACAGACCAATGGAACAGAATAGAGAGCTTAGAAGTAAATCCACACATCTACAGACAACAATTTTTTGACAAAAGTACTAGGACCACATGTTGGAGAAAAGACAGACTTTTAAATAAATGGTGCTGAGAAAATTGGGTATACACATGTAGAAAAATGAAACTAGACCCCTATATTTACCAGTGTCATAAATCAACTTGAAATGGCTTAAATACTTAAATATAAGCCATAAAGGGATTTAAAGACTTAAATATAAAGCCTAAAATTTTAAAACTACTAGAAGAAAACATAGAAGAAATGATTCAGGACATTGTAATGGGCAAAGAGTTTTGGGACAAGAAGCAAAAGCACAGGAAATAAAAGCAAAAATATATAAATGAAATAACATCAAGCTAAAAACTTTCTGCATAGCAAAGAAAGCAATAGAATAAAGATACATCTTATAAAAAGGAAGAAAATATTTACAAACTATGCATCTGACAAGGAGCTACTTAATAGTCCCAAAATTCAATAACAAAAGAAAAACTTGATGAAATTTGGTAATCAGCATTCCCCAAAAGAAGACATACAAATGGCCAACAGGTACATGAAAAAATGTTCAACATCACTGATCATCAAGGAAATGCAAAATCAAAACCACAAGGAGATTATACTGCAGTCCAATAAGAGTTAATATTATCAAAAAAAATTAAAGGTAACAAGTTCTGGTGAGAATGTGGAGAAAAGGTTAACTCTTGCACACTTGGTAGGGAAACAAAGTAAAATGGTATGGAAGACCAGGAATGTAGCTCAGTGGCACCGCACCTGCCTGGCAAATGCAAGGTCCTGAGTTTGATTCCTGGTACCAACAAAACAACAACAGCAAAAACAACAACAACAAAAAACAGCATGGAGGTCCTTAGAAAATTAAAAATAGAGCTACCATATGATTCAGCAATCCCACTACTGAGTACGCATGCAAAAGAAACTAAATCAGTATTTTAAAGAGATATCTGCACTCCCACGTTCATTGCTGCACTGTTCACAATAGCTGAGATGATGAATGACGAAGAAAATGTAGAACATATACACAATAGGATAATATTTGATCATAAAGAAGAATGAACTTCTGTCATTTCTGACAATATGGATAGAACTGGAAATCAGTATATTGAATAAAATAGGCTGGGCACAGAAAGACAAGTACCACATGATCTCACTTACATGTGGAATCTAAACAAGTTGATCACACATAAGTTGAAAGTAGTATTGTGGTTAGTAGAGGTTGAGAAGTGTCAGGGAGAGGGAGGGAGAGGAAAAGGTTGTTCAGTGTATGCTAAGTTAGTTAGATAGTAGTAAGAAGTTCTAGAGTTCTATTGAACAGTGAGTGGGGAGAGTGCGGATAACAGTTACGCACTGTGTATTCAAATAGCCCAAAGAAAAGATTTTGAATGTTTTCACCATAGAGAAATAAAATGTTTGAGGAGATGGATATGTTTGACCCAATGTGAACATTACACAATGTGTACATACATCAGAACATCACATGGTACTCTATTAATATGAATATTTTTATGTATCGGTTAAAAAGAATTTCACTTAAATCACTTTAAATTTGACCATTTAAAAAGAAGAAAAAATAAATAGCTGATCCAAAGAGAACTTCCCTATTTTTATGGTTTTGTTTTCTATTCAATTTATTTAATATTTCTTTGTATTTTTGTTTCATTGGCTTTTTTCTACATGCAGCTCCAAAAGTTAGAATTTTAAGAAGTCAAGTTCTCCTATTTGTGTACTACTAGAACACACAACCAGCCCCTCTGTGACTAAGTCCAAGGCATATCCAGAGTTCAGGCCCAGTCCAAGCTCCCTACTGTCACCTAGTGGCATCTGCCATATATTACAGGGGAGAAATGGCCCTGAGAAGAAGACATGCCATTTTGAGCCTCAAAAGCTAATGCAATTGATGGCAAAATGTGGACTGAGGTGGGTAAGTTAGTTGACAGTGAAAGGAACATGAAGCATGTTATGAGAATAAGATATATATACTTGGGTTGAAACTTCTGTGAAAGAACAAAGATTTGGCTTCTGCAAATTGGATGAAGTTTACCATTTTATTCCTTGGCTTTTCACCATGTCCAAAATGGATATGTATTTCAACTCAGTAGATAAAGAGCTTAGGAACACGAAAAGGTTTTCAGATCCAGGGAATCACTGGTGGCTCTACTATTATTTAAAATATACCTCATGGGAATAGAGTAATAACTGAATAATTGGATACGCTTTAACATGAATTAAAAGTATTCTAGAGATGTAGTAGTATAATAATCATATCTTTTGCAGTGCTAGGAATGTAACCCAGGGCCTGGGCATGTTAGGTAGGCACTGAACCCCTGAGATAAACACCAAGCCAATAATTGTATTCTGTACAATAAGCTTGAATTGGAGAAAGGACAAGAAGTAGAAGAAAGGAGAAAACCTTAATTGAAGGAATAAAAGGAACTTCACACTCTCTTTTTCTATACAAAGGGAATGTAACTCAATGAAAATATGCCACACTGGGTATCTAATGAGATGTACAAGGTTCAGGAAGTCCCCAAACTTCACACTTCAGTCTGCTCATCAAGGAAGGAGAATTAACCTACATCACTGTTTCTCTACCTGGAGTCCAGGATATAGGGTTGGAAGTTGGCAATTTTATATTTTTATTTTGAAGGTAATCCAAATAGTTAATATAAGCATATTGTGTATCATCTTGTGGCAATGATGTTCAATAAAAACATAATGGGAGTCACATATAATTTTTAATTTTCTAGTAGTCATTAATAAAGTAGAAAGATATGAGCAAAGTTAGTTTCAATAATGTATTTCTATCCAACTTAACATACCTAAAATATCACTTCAACATTTAATGGGTGTAAAATTATTAATGAGCTGTTATGTTCTGCATCTTAAGACTTTGAAATTGGATGTGTATTTTTCATTTACAATGTATTTCAATTCAAATCAATTTTTAATTAGATTTCATAAAATTTATACTTTAAAAAGTAAATTCACCTACCAAGTCATTCTAAACTTTTAAGTTATACTTAAAATTTTTCCAATAACTGAACTGCGTTTCAGCTTTTAAACTAAATTACTTCATATCAATTAAAATTAAATATTCAGCTTCTTAACTGTATTTGCTACACTTCAAGGCCTACATGTGCTGGTATCTCCTATATTGGACAGTACACACTGAGGTGATCAATTTCTAAGTGAATACTGCTCGACATTGCAGGGCTCTCCTTTGCACTTGTTTTGATAGTCTCATTGTCAAGCGATAACAGGGGGGCTAAGCTATTGGTAATTCTTCTTTTTATTTTAGTGTAACAGGGTACCCCCATGTGAGACCCAGCTGGAATTCAAAGATTTCTTCCCATTGCACGATGCAGGATTTACTTTACAGAGAGAAGAAATGCAGATAAAAGCTTAAAAGTCCATTTGGATAAGGAAACTTGTGAGACTCAGTAGCCAAAAAGTGCTGAATCTAGTGAAGCTGCTTCAAAGTATAAGAGTAAATGTGAATACCAAATTAGGAAGAGAGCCCTGCACCCTTTCTGTCCCACACCACCCAGGCAAATGTCACACCCCAGGGCCCCATCCTAGGCATCACCAGGGAATGACCTGAGCCAGCACTATGACTTAGGGTGGGGTATTGATGAAGGAAGTTTAAGTCAGTGCAGCAGTGGTAACACAGCCTCCAAACACCTTGGTTTGTGGGGTGCAGACATAAGACACAGTGGGCAGAACAGAGAAAACCACAGCAGCAACAAAGGACTTGTTCTGTGCACACGCGAAGCATCAACAGGGAGAAATTCCATCTGCGCTGCAGGGAGGAGACAACAGGTTGGGGCTGAGCTAAGCGGGGGTTGTGGGGGAACAAACCAACAAGGATCGCATGTTAAAGTGATCTTGGTAGCTTCCATATATAAACAACATCTGGAAACATTCAGTGCCAGTATTTCTGTGCAAAGGAGTAGACTTACACTGTAGTTTAAAGTTCTTAGAAGACGGAGCAGATAAACAATGTTCAGCGACTGTTAAATGATGGGATGGAATTCCATTAAGGCTTTATGATACAGTATATTTTCACCTTGTCTGGGAAATGCGGAATCCGGAACAAATGTAATTTATTATTACAAATTATAGTGCCTGGCCATTCAGCCTCCTGCTCCCAGAAACTCTACATAAGTGACAAATTAGGTTTGGTGAGTGTTAAGAATGGGTTGATGTAAAGTGACCAACTGCCACGGTTTTCCTAGGGCTGGGGATTTCTCGGCTGTAAAATTGGAGAATCCCCAGTGAAATAAGAATGAATTAGTTCCCCAGGTAAGTTTCACAAGACAACAGAGAGGGCAGCATGGGATGTTAAGAAACCAAAGAAATGTTTCCATCTTTACTTTAATGATGTTTATAGAATAGTTGGAAATTACATTGTAATTAATACTTTCAGGGGTCAAATAAGCAGCTGACTTTCCTCAATCCCACAGCTAGTTAGTAAAATCACACAGCCAGTTAGTAGTGTAGGGTAAAACACTTGCCCAAAAGCTATCCTCTTTCAGCATCATTTGACAAGGAACCTTCTTCAGGGTGAATTCTTCCTAAATTTTTACCCCACAGTTGTTCACTGAGGCCTTAAGGGGACTCCAGAGATTCAACTCCAATATCTCAATACTCTGGGATGAGCTGTAAATAAAACTGAGTCCCTCCATAAATATACAGAGATGTCAGTGATGTCTCAAGATCATTATCAGATCCCAGATTTTGTAATTTCAGCTCTAGAATCACATGACACCTTGCCCCCTACATTTCCAAACAAGTCAAGCTCAACCTGGAGGCTGAGTCTGAGGAGGTCAGAATGACCTAGCCCTCACATTCCTCGACACACAATACTCACTTTTCCACCTTCCCATCTCCACAGTAAGGAGCTCCATGGATGTGGTGCAGAGGAGGTGAAGGTTCTCCTAGTTCTGCTCCAGCTTCAGCCTGAACTTGGTATTGATACATTTGTCCAGGTGTGACTTCCCTGTGGAAACCAATGGGTTTGTGACTATGACATCCACAAAATGGTATCATGCCTGGATCCTTTGCAGAAGCTTTGAAGGAGTTTAAGGGAAGTATTAGGGGCACACAGATATTAAACATGCTCCATTGTTTGAAACAAAGATCAGGGCACAGTCTTACAAAGCAACGTGATGTTTGAAACATGTATTTCTGTATTTCTTATATATTCTACATAGTAGATATGCAGTAAGTACTTGCTGAATTAGCACTAAGTGGAACAGTCCTGGACGGTCTGGGAAGTGGATATTCAAGTGGGTTTTAACTAAGTTAAAACAGAACAACTATTGAAAAAATCAATGTTCTGTCTCTTCACAATAATCAAAGAAATTGGAGATGAAAGCTTTAGAATGTGGGATCAACCAAGGACCTTCCTAGACCTGTGGATCACAGCTTTCTCAAGATAATTCTTGTCTTGAAGAGACTAAATTCTTAGGAGTAAGAGCAACTGTCTCATTAAAGGAAGTAAGAATGCTTTCCGTCACCATTTTAGGGAGGCAGAAACCATCAATTAGAAACACATTAAATTACTCTCTACCTCCAAATGCCAGGAATGATATTTATGTGAAAGATAGGAAGAGTTTATTAGACTCTGTAGAGCCGAAGGCAGTGATCTGGTGGGCAGTGTGAGTGACAGGACATTTAGGAGAAAAAAGCACTCATGAAAGGGGCTGCTGGTTCCAAAGACAAATGCTGCCCTCTTCTTAATTTTGTCCAGTGCTGGAAGTGATTGGAAAACTGTCACCAAAGCCTGGGATGGGACTTACTTAGGAGGACAAGATCTCAAAAGATTGCTTGGAAAGCCAAAGTGGCTGCCATGCATCTTCTGCTAAGACCCTTTTTTTTAAGAGCCTCTACTCTTTCACTGAATACAGAAACCAGCACATGGGAAATATCCTGGGGTTTCAAAACTACCTTTCAAAACCTCTATGCTGGCTTTTAGATATTCTAATGGTAATGACATTTAAATACTAAAAACTTTAAAATTTCCAAATTAGTTTTCCTTCTGGGGGAAGCCACCCTTTCATGTGAGTGCCAGACACTGCTACAGCCAAACCAGTTTCACGCCTTAATCAAGATTGATGGTTTCTTCTTATAAGGTGGTTTTCATCAGACTTCTTGTCCAGCTATGCATAGAGCCTTACACTACTCTGTGGCTGGTAAAGATTTGAATGGTTATCATGTGTTTCCCTTCTTGGGGAGAAAAACCTAGTAGCAGGTAGCCCAGGCCTTCAATGATCTGAATGTGCTACTTATGAAGGAGGATAGAGGTGAGATTCAGTTGGAAAATTTGATCTTAATCCTGAGTCTGCCATTTACTAGCTACTCAATAAAATTAAAGTTCATCTTTGGTTTTTTACCTGTACAATGGGATATTATTGGCCTAAAACACTTATGTGCCTGTGGATATTGTTAGATCACAAATGCCATATTAACTACTTTACTTCAGAAGCTCAAAAATGATTATTTTAAAACTCACCTCATGATATGTCTTCCCATCTGTATTTTTATCATTTCACTATCTTCTAATTCTAATTAAAGAGTAAATATGGTAAGAAAGTGTACTGAAGTTCAAGGTGGACACTTTTTAGTAGCTATGGTAGAGTGCCACATGTCCACTCCCAGCCCAGGCTCTGATTTACTTATGCTAGTGGGACATTATCTTGAGTAATACAAAGCATAGATTTGACAAGCTCAAGTAATGAGGTCTTTCCCTCTTTGCTGTTGGGAAGCCCTCCACTGTCATGAGAAGAAGCTCAGTCCAGAACCTGAGAGAGCATGAGAAAAGAGTCCTATTCTTCCCAGCCATGGCAGCTGAGCTGAGGCCTCCAGTATGTGCATGAGGTCATCCTGGGCCATCTGGCTCTGGCCAAGTCCATCCAAAAGAGAGCACCCAACTGATCCACAGAATCATGAAGAATGTTTGTTGTTTTAACTCACTACATTCTGTGATGATTTCTACTGCCACAAAAGCTGATATACCACCTCTGATAAAACTTTGTTTTACTCCACTTTTACCCTCAGGATAAACTGTGAGGAAAATAATGATGTGGAAGACATTTGCCTTTGGAGATAGCAGCCTCCTGGTGCAGAAACTGAATTCTTTATAGGTAATGACCTTATCTTTGTGTCTCCATCATTGAGCACAAGGTAGTAGAAACATGGCAGAACACACTAAATGTAGAGAGAAAGAATAGAAATAAGAGAAGAGAAGGAAAGAAGAGAAGGAAATTAGAAGAGAAAGACAGAAGAGAGAGGGAATGAGAAATAAGAAAAGAGGGAAGAACAAAACACACATTCTGAATGAGTCCTGCAGCTGAGCACCATGTCTGCAGGGCCTATAGCATTTTTACTTAATATGGAGCAACTGACTGTAATTTTTGAATGATGTGAGAGCTGCAGCAGGTTATTAGAAAGCTACAGCAAGAAATCAGATATTAAATTGTTAACAGACAGAAGAATCTGATTCTGATCAACTTATTTGCAGGAGTTACAAATTCAGTCCCACTGAAAGACTTCATACAGGAATCTCTTTTCCCCACAATCCTAGTGATGGCCTTAGCAATCAGAAGACAGGGGAAATGTTTTCTTCATCTAAGATATGCCACTTTAGAATCAAACCTTCTCTCAGATTTTCAACATTTTTCCAACTCATGGCATGTCAGAAAGTTATAAAGTAGAAATAGAGGCAACCAAATTGACTCCAAGGCCCCAAGGCCCTACTGTTTCAGAAGGCCCTACTGCTCAACTCACATGTCTGTGAACTTCCTGTGAAGCTGTGTCACCACCATGGGTGAGCCACTGGCAAAAGGAGGCTCCCGGACAACCTGGTACCTCACAGGCATGCAGCCAGAACACAAAGGACTGCGGGGCTGGGAAGTCAGGAGGGCAGCATCAATCTCCATCCGCTCGTCAAATGTGTAGACTTTCGCCCCTGAGACCTTTCCGTCCACATGCAGTTTGATGGTGAGGGGTGTGTCACAGAAAGTGTCTAAGGGGCCCAGGTGCACAGACTCCTGGTTTTCCAGCATGATCTCTGTGTCAAACAGTGCCTGGGAAGAGTCCGTGGAGAGGTAAGTGACCCAGAGGGTGAGGGTGTCAGCTCGGACTGGGTATTGGAAGAGGAGCTCCAGGCTACAGCCTTCCGCAGGGCAGGGCACTGTCATATTCATGTGGTAGAGGTGGAGCTCAGGACTCCAGGCCTGCAGGCTTGGCTCACAGGGCTGATCCACATCAGGAGGCCCTGGGGAAGAGGAGCAGAAACACATGTCGGGATCCACCACCACCAATCTGAAAGAGTAGCCCAAATCAGCAATGAGAACAAGAAACAAAGAAGGAGAGACTTGGAATTCCTACAGAAGTTGGTTAGTTCAGGGTTATATCTTAAGTACCATTAAGGACAAAAGTGAAAGGATAACAGCTATGATGAGCTGGTTACCCTATCACCTCTACAAGGTGCTCTTTAACAAGGGAACCTGGCAGAAAATTGGGAATGGTGTGACCAGAACCTACATAGAATCTTAAAGTTGATACAGACAAGTTAAGCCATGTCCTTCAAGAACCCTTGAGCAGGAGAGAATTACATATACTTAGTTTATCAAGAATTTACAATAACATAAAGCTTCTGCAATCCAATGTTCCTTTCAGGTTTCACTATACTCTTTGTAGTGCCTTTCACAAAACTTCTTTCATCCCTTAAGGTCCCACCTTGGCACTTCAGCACCTTAACTGTTAGCCAAACTTTAAAACGTACATCAGCATTTCCCTTTCAGTTCAGGTATGTGTGAGCAGGTAGGTTACCCCACAGAGGGAAACATAGACGAGAAACACAAATGCATAGGACTGAGTGGGAAATAAAGGAGATTTAATAGCTGAGTAAAGGGAAAGGAAAAATGATGAGAAATGGAAAAAATGGAAATAAAGTCTTTGTAAATAGGGAAGGGTGGAGGGCATGAAGGGAGGGCTAGGAATGGGGAAAAAATAAGAACCAAGATGCATTATGTAAAGGTACAATTCCCAATGAGAAATGTAATTGTGTTGTATACCTACAATGTACCAATAAAAGAATTTAATACAATAAAAAAATGTAACAGTGAAATAAATCACAGATCACAAATATGTTAAGTTCAGCCTGTGGAAATAATCCATACAAAGTGGGTTTCTTCTACATCACATGAAAGGAATTGAAGAGAAAGTGCTGGATTAGAAACCAGCAGAGTTAGGCTCTAACTGCCACCATCCCAGGAGCTGTGTGGCTGCAGCAGACGCATCTTTCTAAGCCTTGATTTTCTTTCTCATAAAATAAGTACTGAAGTTAACTCCTGCCTTACTGAGTTAGTATGAAAGATCTATGCAATGTTTCATAAAAATCAGGTATCTACATTTGCAAATGTAGAATTATTCAATCATTGAGCATTTGGACAATAATGTTCCAAAGCCCAGAGAATCTAAGTTCAGATATGTGTGTGTGTGTGTGTGTGTGAGTGTGTGTGCATACGTAGTATTGTATCTCATTGTCATTATTGGTGTTTGCCTACATTGTGAATTGACCTATTCATTCATCCAGCAGAAGTTGGCTGTGGGTCACCTTTACACCTAGCATTAACCTCGGTATCAGAGACAGTGGACAAGTGACATGTACATCCTGTGTGTTCCTATACCTTACAATTGGGAGATAGATGCAACTAATTATAAAATATTATTTCAAGTAGTAATGTTTTTGGAAAAATTAAAGAATACGAGGAAGTAGAGAATTACGGTGTGAGGTTGAGAGCTATTTTAGATTACGAAGTTGGAAAAAAGGGAAGGCAACAAGTTCAATTTTCAATTCATGGCAGCGTTTAGAAAGTAACTGGTGGTCAATAAAGTGTTCATTAAGTGCCACTACCTTTATTTTGTCATGTCTGTGAATCTATGTTTGTGCATACTCCGTTGGGAAATTCAAATTAGTATTGTGTATATTTTAAATTTGACCGTGACTTCAACCATTTCAAGCAAAAGAATACTGGCTTTTCTTAGCAGAATTTTTCAATGCTTATTCAAAAAAACTAGTAGAGCAAAGGCCCTGGAAAGGCCACCAAGCAGCAGCACTGCTTAGAAAGTTTCTGTTGTGACTTCATGTTAAACATGAAGTAAGGGCCCTAAAAGGTGATTTCGTTTGCCTCAAGATATAAGAAGTATAATCCAGAACTTAAAATTCCTTTAACCTCAAGCAGATAACTTTGAACTTTCCCAAGAAATAAAAAGAAAAAAAAATCTGGGTTAGAGAGTCAAGCAGGCATTAAAGTCCCAGCACAGAGCAAACTCTTTGCCACAATACTGTCCTTTTATTAAATGCCAATCTCTACATGAGTCCAATGCACTAAATTTTATATTCACTTTCCATTCTTCTCTGAAAACTCTCCTCTGAAAAAAGTCATGTACAATCAATCACACAAACTGTCTCCCTCCAGCTCCTCCAGGCCCTGTCATTTGAGTGACTGGGAGCCCACGATGACATCATATGGATACTGCAGACTCAGACCACTCTTCTTTTTTTATGGCCACAGTCAAGACTGAAAATAATTCAAATAAACTGTGTCCAACACATCTTACTGAGTGGTTTTCATTTTTGAGTCTTAAGAAATCTAAGCGGGAAAAAGCAAAGACAAAACATGATGATTAGGTGAGCACTGAAGATGATGATCATGGCAGAAGTGAAGCCATTCATCAGGAGGTGAGGACAGTCATGTCAGCAGCATTTTCTGGCTTAGAACTGAGAAATGATTCATACTAAAACTTGTCTTTGGGCCTGTGATGTTCATATTCAAGTGACTATGTGACTGAGAAGTTGGGGGAGGGACAGGAAAAGATAACGGAAAACATTTTCCCCCTCCTGGAGCCTAGCTTAGATCGTATCCAAAGCACAACCAGTACCAGTGATTAATAGCCTCATAAAATAGCACAGCTGAGAACGAGCAATGTGGAACACCTTGTCCTCCTTACCCTCACCCCAACTCATCTAGCCAACGTGTGACTATAGACTGCAGTGTGTTCTCCATTATTCTCATGATACCAAGCAAGGAGAAATCACCTTGGCCTGTAATATGGCAAGGCAGCTCCAGGGAGAAGTGGGCACATGCAACACTACTGGCCCAGGATCACCCAGCTCAGCTGACTTCTCTGTCCTTCTGTGTTATCTGCTGATCTCTGCTCCACCACAGCCATTGGGTCTCCACATTAGGCATATATGGGACATTCGGGACCCAGAGGCACCAAGAAGTCTTTCCAAGGCTGGAGATATCCAGCAACACACCACACACACACACACACACACACACACACACACACACACTCACCTGTTCTCCACCACACTATTGCTCCACCCCTCTCTCCATGCTCATTACGGTATAAACTAAAAGCCATGGTACTTACCCACAGCCTCCTCTGGGGTCCAGTATCCTGAGGAGTCACACACCCGCCTGGAAGAAGCAGTGTGTACATACTGACGGAATGTCCCATCTTCAGAGCAGCTGCCACACATGCTGCCTGGAGCCCTGGGAAGGGGAGGAGGTGAAGATGAGAATTTGTCTGATAAACGGGGATCAGGAAATTAGGAAGGCCTTGGGGGAAAATATGAGGTCCTAGAAGGCGACTGGAAACACGGTTATTTTTCACTTCCTGCTTGTGTAGACCTCATCTTTGCAAAATTCACAGTGACATGAAAACCTCAAGGTCATGAAGGAGAAAAATGTAAGTCATAAAGGAGGACCACAGAGATGCGGGTGGGCAGCTTATGTCCTGGGAACATCAAACATAAAACAATTACAATCTGAGTCAACATGAAACTCCTTTCTACACTGACTATCCAAAAGTCATTAAAGACCATTTGCATTCCCCCCACTGAGACAAACAGTAATTTTTAAAATAAAATTTTAGCTATGTATTCTTGTGTTTTAAACTCCCTACTTTAATTACATGCCTTAAATAAAATCTATGTGAACTATAACATTCCTTGGCTCTCTGGTGCCTAGAAGGACATATCTGAATTATTCACCCTTACCCAAAGTTCATTAACCAGTTAGCTCTGGCTTCACTATTACAGCTCCCTCATGATTTTATGTTCCCATCACAATGGACATGTCATTATTCCACAGATATATCATGCCCTTTGCTTCACGAAACATGCTGTCCTCTCAGCTGTCAAGTGGTCTTTCCAGGCATCTCTGCTGAGCAGACTCCTACACGAGACAATTCAAGAGCCAAAAGAACCTCTGCTTTCTCTGTGCACCCACTGCACTTGCTGGATCCTCTCTCAGCACATTGCTAGGTGCTATTAAGAGTTTCCGCTCGTACTCTTTCCTCTCCTGGGCTCTGGAAAGGTCTGAACCTACTACATTCTCTCTCTATGGCATAGGTAGTGAACATAGGGATGGATTCAGCAATTCCTCTGTGAATGCTTATTTTGTGGATGTTATGAGATGATGAATACAGTCTATGAAGAGCTCTACCAGCACCATATCTGGGGTAAGCATAATAGGTAGACTTAATAATAAGTAAAGAACAAGAGCAAAACACCTCACAGGCTTATCTCTTATACTTGGGAATGCTTTTAGGAACCCAGTTGTGAAGTACACATCTGAAATGTAGGCATCACATCAGGAACACTGGATAGGTAACATATTAATAGCACATCAATATCTTTTGCCAGAAAAATAGTATTTCTGAACAAAGGTAATAATTACACCTGCTGCTTCTCTTTATTAAGCACCTCACATACATGGCCTTATGCTGCATGTGGTTTTCATAAATTACTTCTAATCCCTGTAAAGACCTCATGTTTACAAAAGAGAAAATTCAGGCTCAGAGAGGTTAAGTAAATTCCCTAAAGGTCACAAGTTCATTCATTCCTTTGAGCAAGATCACAAACACCATCTAGTGTCCAGTACTCTGGCAACTAAAAGGTGTAAAGATTTACCCTTGGATTCCAATCAGCAATCACTTCTAATGTGGACGTGATTCCAAACCACATTTCCCTGATGCATTTGGCCCTTCCGAGGCTGCTGCCCAATGCATAGCTGGGACTCCTCTCTGACATAAGGATTCCAAATACCTACAAGGGTGGAGTAAACATAGCTCCAGGCATGACACAAATCACTAGGCATGTGACGTGGGTCCCCCCAACACATGTGTTGGGAGGCCTCAAAACTGTAGCCCACCTAGCTGAGGAAAGGAAGCAAATTGCAGCCTTTTCTGCCAACAGACTCTCAGCAAGCAAGTTCTGATGTCTGCTTTATCGTAACGTTTGTACCAGAGAGAGAATTGAAAGATTAAATTGTTTACATGTGTTATATAAACTGATGTAAAACTCTGGTTTTACACATACCCACAGAGGACTTACTGTTCAGCCAGTCCGACCAAAGCTGCACAAGGTCACACTTGCAGGAAGATGATTCTTATACACACCACATAGATGTGCTCTGATTCACCAAACAGAGCCCAGGCGAGCCTGGGTGCTGATGACAATGAAAACTAGGTTGTTGGGTTGTGAGCTCTGAGTGATGTCATCCATTGAGTATGGGTCAAGTTTTCAAGGACAAACATCAAGATCTCAAGAGCCTGTGAATATCACTTTGAAAAAGGATTCACCAATTTTACCCTGTCCTCATCTCTCTGGGTCTCTGCTTCTCAGACTTTCAGTGAAGCTACTGGACATAAAGACACCCTCCAGTGATATCCGGCACATTTGTGGGCCCCAGCGCCCCAAAGGCAGTGTAGCATGAAGGAAAGGAGCTATCTGCCTGCTAAGGGGGGAGCTCTAAATTCAAAGAAATTATCTCATTGGTTCCATGTTTCTCATTTCTGAATTTCCATGGAATTCCCTCAATTCACCTCCTGGGCTAACTCCTTGTGTTTTTCTAAGCCTCAGATTTCTCACTTATCTAGCAGAAGGTGTGCTGACTGCAACAAATACATAAGGTAAGTGCAATGAGATATCTACCGCAATGCTTCATACATAGGAGGACTGAATAGACAGTAGCTATTCTTGTTATTTAGGGTATGGTGGTAGGTTTTGAAAGATGGTCGTCTTCATAGGTCATAAATGGAGCTCTGAGCCTTTCAGTTAGACCATATTCTTCTATTCCCCCATTAGATGTCATTCTTTTTCCTATCTTTTTACAAAAATTCCCCTGCACTAATGTACAAAGGAAGAATGAAACCTAGCTTTGGGAATCATGTTTTTCTTCAATATTTCTTATTTTTAAATAAGGAAATCATTAGGTTCTATTGTGGCAGATTAAGAGAAGATACAGAAAATAGTTCTACCTCTGTTCCCCAGTAGTGCCAGCTGAGTGAGGCAGACAGAAAGATGAGCATATAGTAAACAATTCAATAGGATAGTGGCCATGGGGAGGGGAGAAGGTGGTACAGGATGCAGCAGGGGGCTGAGGTAGCATTAGAAATGCCCGTAAGAGTTGTGTAAGCCCCAATGCACACATGGTGAGAATTTGTACATTCCCACCCACCGCAGGACCACACATAGGAGCATGCTTTACTTCTCTTTCCCTAACACCACTGTGAAAGCAACAAGCCCCTGTTCCATCCTCACACCACAGAGGAAAAGCCCACAAGTCAGGCAGCAAATTCTCTCTCAGTTCTGCCAGTTCTCATTGACCATCCTCTTCTGGCTCTGCCTGAGGTGGGCATGTGATGGACACTGGCTCACACGAGGAGAAGACCCTGAGCTCTGCTAAGGAGCTGGGAGCAGAGCAGGCTGGAGGAGGCAGCCCTGAGCAGTGCTGTACACTCTGAGAGCTCTGAATGTAGATGGCCTTGCTTCACATCTGTACTCTCAGGAAACACTGCAAAGAAAGTTTACCAGCTCACCTGTGCACAGTCCTGCTCTCACCTGTCATATACAACTCCACTAATAGGAGGCAGCCAGTGGATAGTGAGGGACTTGCGTGTCTGCCCGATGACCACAGGTGGGATAGGAATGGGGGTGGGCTTTCTGCTTTGACTCCATTGCTGATAAACAAGGTCCAAATAACAATGCATCCTCGCCACTTGGTTAGGGGTGAAGCTGTCCGTGCAGTTATCATCTGTGAGACAGAAAAGAAAAGAGAAGAAGTAGAGGTTTCAACCTGTAAAGTCCACCAATGCAGAGGTAAATCCTGCCTCCTACTCAGTGGTGACAAGCACCTGGCACAACACCTTATATTTACTAGGTTCAAAACACACTTGTTGAAAAGATAAGTGGACTGTGTTCCAGAAAGCACCACAGATGGAAATGGAAAAGAGAAGGCAGAGGTATACCACTTTCTTATCTCAGAAACAACTCCACTCATTGCCTGAATGGTGGGCTAGCCTAGGGTGAGACTCAAGCCCTAGAGTGTAGATAGCTCTAAGCTGATGCTTGCTTATTCAGCAAACCACAAGATGGCAGTGTTTTAGCAGAGGGCCTTTGCACTGTAAATGTTTGGAGCTGCAAGCATCTGCTTTATTGCCCGTTGATGTTGGCAAGGTTAGTGAGTACCCAGTGGAGATGTTAAAGGGACAGGAAGTCAAATGACAAGAAAACAGCAGGGATGGGAATGGTGGTCCCAGTCTTATTTAGGGGGTTAGCAAAGTCTCCCTATTAAGTACATTTTTCCATGGAGTTAAATAAGGAGTTATCTTAGTTTTAGGAATTTTTCTACTTGAAACACACCAGCCAAATGTGAAATCCCATCCTGCTTCTTAACTATTTCCTCTTCCTAGCTCAAAGGTGGTAAGACAAGAGCTCTCATCTCTGTTTTTCCTCTTCTGGTCTTATCTCCTCTCCAAGGCAAGTGGGCCCTTGATAGGGGAGAGAAGAGCTAGTTCTTATGAATTCAATGTACCTGAATTATTCACCACAGTGAAACTTGGATAAAACATTTCACTACGTCATAGGCAGAACCAACTCATTGTTCCTTCTTCGTTTTAGAGCCATGACTAGGGTCTGGTGGTTTAACTTTTTAAGGATTGTTTTGGAAACAAGTACCTGGAACTAAAAAAAAATATGTCCTTTCATCACTAGAATTGGTCATCAAGTCAAATTAGGCCTCAGTCTTACGGATAAATTAACCTCACTGTCAGGATCTGAGTATTAATGCTTGGCAGAAATAGGGAAGGTGTGAGAGACAGAAAAGAAGGATAATCGAGGAGTTGAACTGAGAAAGGACAAGAGCAAACAATACAGTTCTTCCTAGGGCCAGGAGGGCACTATTTTTAAGATTAGAAAGACTAATTTTTGACAGAGTATATGGAGGGCAAGCTAAACATCAACCCTGGAAAAAGCAAATCTGTTTTCTTGAAGGTAATATAAAATAAAAGGAATCCTGAGCTCAAATGAACTAAATCATCTTGTTGAGCAACTCTAAAAATAATGCAAACTGTAGAAATAAGCTACCTTGGGCTGGGGATTTAGCTCAGTGGTTTCGCCGCTTGCTGTGCAAGAGCAAGGACCTGAGTTTGATCCCCAATACCAAAAAAAAAAAGAAAGAAAGAAAAGAAAAAGAAATAAGCTACCTTGACCCAGAAATCTTTTGACCCATCATGATTAGACTCTCCTTCAGAGCAAATGCCTGAGAAAAAGAACGAGAATGAAAATCACTAAGTTCTATAAATCGAAGAGATTTCAACGAGGCCTTTAGCTTTGTCCCATTTTTGCTAGCCAGGAAAAAAAGTGTGCTATTCTTTTAATTTCTAGTGGAGAAGAATGGAGTCAACAAGGCCTCTTAATATCTGAGCATTTCTTCAAGTTCTTCAAAGACATGGAGAAAGGAGAATATCCTATAATAAATACACTTTAACTTTCTGGTGTGAATGACACTCCAGTTATCTTCATAGCTCCTGGGCCTCCACCCTGCCCATCCCCACTCAGGTCTCCTATCCACCCAGTAATCTTAAAATAACACAAGCATCAACTCTGCAGTGATACCTGTGTAGCTCATGTAGTTGTTGAATGGAGCCCCTGGGAAGTGGGTGATGCCGCAGGTGTCGTTGGCAGGTTCTGGAATCTGGCACAGCTTACTCTTCGGCGTGGGGGCAGTGTCGGCACAGAGATCTCCTGTTTCCATGGATGGTACCATCTCCCTGCAGGGGTCATTGCAGGAGTCCCTCTCACTGACTCCTTTGAAGACGTGGTAGAGGCCCAGGACATGCCCCACCTCGTGGATCATGATGTTGCTGTGACCCGGCATGCCATAATAGGCTGGGTTGAGGACAACTCCCCCTGCAAGGGAAGGTTGGGCATCATCTCTGAGCACAGAATGAATAGCATTCTCAGTTCCTTAATTACTTCTGATGAACTTTAAAAGTTCTATTTTGCTCCTGAGACACTTTGTAACTTCTAGTAGCATCCATTCATTGCTCTGTCCTCTTGCAACAAAACCCTTAGAACCAATCAATAAACATCTCTTAACCTCCATCATAGGTGAGTGCAGTCATAGAGATGAAGAATGGTGGAAGAGACAAAACAGCATGAAAAGGCCCAGATTTTCAGCCCTGAGGGCCCATCAAAATCACCTGCAGGAGTTTAACACAGAAGCCCAAATGTTACCTCTAATAAATGAAATCCGAATACTGGAAAATGGAGTTCATTCACCAGTATTTTTTTAACTTCTGAGATAGAGAATCACTGACCTAAGGCAAAGTACATGGGGCAGAGAGCCAGGGAAATCTAGGTCTGACACCTGACCCTTTCCACACCAGCTCTGAGGACTCAGACAGCTAGCTATCTGGCATCCTAGAGCTCAGTTTTGTGGTCTGTAAAGTGGGGGCAGCATGTGGATTTCATTATTAAGTGTTTGGCAGATTTTTAAAGCTTAGTAAATGACAGTTACAGGTTCTGATTTCTCTACCCCTCCTCTCAAGGAGCTAACAACCAGTTAGACAAAAAGCCAAGTCTGGTGGAATGACCATGAAATTTTGAATGTCACATGCACTACAAGAACATGTCCACACTCACTCCCAAAAATCTCCATGAAGACACCAAGTAAGTGTTTCAGAGAAGAGGGAATCACATTTAAATGGGCTTAGATGAAAGCTCTAATGTATCATCGTGATCTCACAAAAGAAAAGGCTAAAGACCTCTGAGTGTCCAGGCTTCTAACTTGTTGAATGGCCAATCCAGCCTCCCCCCCCCATCTCCTCTTAGTTTAATTTACTCAGCATTTTTTTAACTCTCAAAATTGTCAAGATTAGGCTGAGCCTCATCTCTAGAACCTGAGACAAGGAATATCAACCGCCCTGGAGACCCCCTCTGGGGCTCCCTATGTGAAGAGTCTCCTGAGGATAGCAGGACCTTCAGAGCAGCCTGTCTTTCTTTTGACAGATTCTACACCAAGACCTATCCCTTATTCCTTAACTCTATGTAATGTCCTATAGACAATTCCATATGTTGTTTTATGACAGAGCATTATCACAGGGTAACTGGTGCCATGCCCACTGGTTCTGTCTAATGTGTGGCTCATCCTGCCTTTGTGGTAACTACCCTACTGAAAAGTGTAGTTTCTAAATTCAAGATCTAGTTTCTCCCAATGTACTCAGACATGCTTACATTAACCACACGAGACCTAGCCTCATTGTGAGGTAGAGTGTCTCCTTTAACATATAAAAGTAAAACAATGCCTCCTATGTTTATCCTGTCCACCACTTCCAGTACAATTTCTTATCCTCTAACATTATCTTTATCCCCCTTTTTATTTCCTTTTTTAAGGTTATTTGATGAATATTTCCATAACTTGTGCATCATTGCTTTTATATCAACATAAGGTCAAAGGAGCTTGAAAACAGGTCTGTTTAAATAACACCCAGAGTATTTGGCATTTGAATGAGCCTAGTAAAATGTAATGTTTCCACTTTCCAAAATGCCTACCACTTCATGTTACTTAGCCAGTGGTATTCAATTTTCTAACAGCATTATTGACCTTCACATCCACGGTGATAAAGAGAACAATCCATGTTCCTTCCCTCTACACACAACTAATTTTCACCCCTACTCTTTCTTCTTTTTCTCTTACCCATGTCTAAGTCAATTTTAGATTTAAAAAACTAATCTTCAGAAATGAGACTTTGAAAGGTTATATTTGATGAGCAACTTCATTGATTCGATTTCCCAAATTGTATTCAGAAATTTTGAGCCTGAATGATACTTAGGGGGGAAAAGTGGTATCATTGGTTGAGTATGCTGGATACAGCATGCACGCTGTCCTAAAAATTCACAACATCTGTGAGAATTATTACACTAAATGCCTTGGGAAGTTCTGTAATAATTTTGTTTAACCCTTTGCTTCTCAAGCTTATTTGGACAAAGAAAGTGTTTGGGGTAGAAAACATTTGGATACCTTTGGATCACCAGATTTCTTGGAGCACAATTCAGGAACACTGCCAAAGATAATGAAAATGCTATTTTCTACCTATGTGTCTTACCTCTGAGCAAACACCAAATATTCTTTTATTCAACATTTAGGGAGCCCAAGTTCTATTGTGAAATCTTCCAGATATATACAGAGTAATTATAAATGACCAGAAAGAAGGGTCTCAGAACAAGGAATGGTAAAATAACACATCAAGGAAGAAGGGCTGGGGGTTGTGGCTCTGGGGATGCTCAAGGAGAAGAGAGAGGTGACCATTGTAATAATAGGCTTATTGTCAAGATTTGGAAGTTTCATCCTTGATTCCAGATGACATATTTCCAAATCTGAGAGTATTCTGCAATAAATTTATAGTCAGCTTTCAATAGATCAGCTCATATATAAGTGGAACCAAAAGCATAAAAAGTCACAATGGAACCAGAAGCATAAAGAGTTACGTCCTCAACACTTCTAACATGTCCCCTTAACACTCAGGACACCTGGAGAGGGTTTTCCTCTATTGTCCTCTTCATGTAAATTCCCCAAACAGAAGAACACAGAGTTAACCAAACACACATAGATTTTAATTTAAAACATAAGCATTCTAATATACTTTGGCAAAAGTTATATTTTTGATTCCAAAGAGATAGGACTTCTGGAAAAACATCATCTATGTGGAATATATAATAACAAGCTTACTATGTGTGTGTTAAACACAATGTGGCACAAAACATAGACATAGAGACATGTAGCAAGTATAGAACAAAATAATGTTCTAATTCAGTGGTAACTGCTGGACACAACCATACATATTGAGAGAAGACCCGAAGTCCACTACCTCTTGTAGAGATTTTATCTGCAGGTGTACAAGGTCCTGGAATCATCTGGACTAGAGCTAAGAAAATCTTCAAGTAAGTCCCTCCCTGGACACGCTCTATAGCCTTGACCTTGGAGTTTAACTTTCCTCAGGTCTTCTTTGCTGCAAAATGAGAGGTTACACCAACTTGTTCAGATTTTTTCCTGTTCTCAGTCCATGCTTCCAAGAGCTAAATTTGTGTCATGAACACAAATACAGTGTGAAAAAATTTGTGTTCTCATGGACTGTAAGCATGTAGTTTGTGTTCTAAGACCAGTACCTCTCAGTAGCCTGAGGTAACGGGAAAGCTTGGAAGGAGCAGCAGCACATTTTCCTTTCAGATGTGCCACTGATTTTCCAGCAGCCAATTCACTGTCTGTTAACCTCCACCTCCATCCCCAGAGTGGACATTCTCCATGCCCTGTTCTATGCCTGGTGTCCCACACAGTTCTTTAGTTCACTCTTTATCTCTACTAAGCCAAACTTGTTACATTATTAGAGGGATGGGTTTAAGTCATTCAAAACAGCCAGCCAGACAGACAGACACACACACACACACACACCCATGTGGGTGAGAGGGAAAACTATTAATTTATTCGTAATTTATTTTAGAAAAGTTGTTCCACACTTTGATGAAAATTACAAACATACACACATGTATGTGTGTTCACATCAAAGCCTGAATGAGCCAGAAAGATCTGTTGCCCAAAATCTAAAAGAAAGAATGCAAGACCTTTTCATTAAGAAGAAAAAAGACATAGTAATAAATAATAAAAACAAAATCTCCAGGATGACAGTGCCTTCCTGTCTTTCTCACCACTTGGATCTGTCCAGAGAGAGTCTGAGCTGCTGCGCACTTTCTCACCCTCACAGAAAATATACAGAAATAATACTGTGGGGTGATGAAATGTTACTTGCAGCGCCACTTGATATTAATATTCAAACCCTTCAGCGTTATCTTCTGAAGCTCTTGCATATAGTTCACACTTCCCTCCATCTCAATTATCAGCCAAAGGGCTCAGCCTCTGAGTGGGTCCCACATTGCTGTGTAGAAGACTCTTCCAAAAGATAGTCTTAAGAATGACCAGGGTGACTTCTTTGGTTGTAGACAATCACTGGAAAAGTGTTGATCCTTACCTTTGGGGACATTCCATCCATAAAAGCTCTCAAGGCTGTTTTCTGACCTATTCAATGGTAATAACAGGAGTTTCTACTTCAAAAGATTGCTGGGAAGATGAATGTAATGTCAACAAGTGAACATTTATCTTATTTCCTACAATAAAGTTAAAATTCATATTGGCCCATTTGTGAATACCATTATAATTCCATAGTGCAGTCCAACACTATCTGGTCATTTGTCCCTTTCCCTTGGGTCTCTTCATGGATCTTCAAAAACCAGCTGAGGAAATATTCCTCTAAGCTGAAGAAAATGAGAGAAATTGTAAACAAACAAACACCCCCCCCGAAAAAAAAACCCCAGGGATATATAGATGGTGATGGGTCCAACAAAGTTGATTGTACCTTGACTTTTGAGTTCCCAGGAACAGAATAAAACCCCAAACAAGTGTGTATGATCTGAGCACAGAGGGATTTTGACACATTCTAGTGACAGATTCCTGAGCCACTAGCCTTGGTCTAGAGAGGAATGGCTGATGAGCAAGGTCGAGAAAGAAGGGGTACATTGAGCCCGCCTGAGGTTCCTTGAGAATGAGACATCAACTGATGACTAGGGACAAGATGGATCATTGTGCCTGTGGTCTTGGCATGCATGAGTCACCAATCCTGTTAGATACAGCCCCCAGCCAAAGGGGCTCAACTAACTGAGAGTAAATTTTAGCTGCATGGGGACTCAACATAGAAATTAAGTTCAATTATAGAAGAAGAAATTTACATTTATGGCATATCTGCATATGTGTACTGAGACTTGAACTCAATAAAGCCCTGCACTGCCAACTTGCACATAAAACACAGTATAAATGTAGCTCCTTGAATTTAGCAATCAGTGACCATGTGTGGCACAGC